ACAGGTCCATGACACTTAGGAAGTGGTGAAGGAAGTAGTCGAGGCGAGCAGTCCGGAGTGTGGGAACCCTTTGTGGCAGTTAGATTAATGTATCTGCCATAATAAAATGCTATAGGAAGGTAGGGAAACAGGTCCACGACGTAGGGAGCGGTAAAGAAAGTAGTCAAGGCGAGCAGTCCGGAGTGTAGAAACCCTTTGTGGCAGCTAGATTAATATACCTGCAATACTAAAATGCTATGGGAAGGGAGAGAAACAGGTCCACGATGTAAGAAGTGGTGAAGGAAGTAGTCAATGTGAGCAGTCCGGAGTGTGGGAAGCCTTTGTGACAATTAGAATAATGTATCTGCAATTCTAAAAATGCTATGGGAAGGGAGGGAAACAGGTCCACGACACTTAGGAAGTGGTGAAGGAAGTAGTCGAGGCGAGCAGTCCGGAGTGTGGGAACCCTTTGTGGCAGTTAGATTAATGTATCTGCCATAATAAAATGCTATAGGAAGGGAGGGAAATAGGTCCACGACGTAGGAAGCGGTAAAGAAAGTAGTCAAGGCGAGCAGTCCGGAGTGTAGAAACCCTTTGTGGCAGCTAGATTAATATACCTGCAATACTAAAATGCTATAAGAAGGGAAGGAAACAGGTCCACGACGTAGTAAACGGTAATGGAATTAGTCAAGGCGAGCAGTCCGGAGTGTAGAAACCCTTTGTGACAGTTAGATTAATATACCTGCAATACTAAAATGCTATAGGAAGGGAGGGAAACAGGTCCACGACGTAGGAAGTGGTAATGGAAGTAGTCGAGGCGAGCAGTCCGGGGTGTAGAAACCCTTTGTGACAGTTAGATTAATATACCTGCAATACTAAAATGCTATAGGAAGGGAAGGAAACAGGTCCACGACTTAGGAAGTGGTAATGGAAGTAGTCGAGGCGAGCATTCTGGAGTGTAGAAACCCTTTGTTACAGTTAGATTAGTGTAACTGCAATTCTAAAATGCTATGGGAAGGGAGGGAAACAGGTCCACGACGTAGGAAGTGGTAAGGGAAGTAGTCGAGGCGAGCATTCTGGAGTGTAGAAACCCTTTGTGACAGTTAGCTTAATGTAACTGCAATATTAAAATGGTGTAGGAAGGGAGGGAAACAGGTCCACGACGTAGGAAGTGGTAATGGAAGTAGTCGAGGCGAGCATTCTGGAGTGTAGAAACCCTTTGTGAGAGTTAGATTAATGTAACTACAATTCTAAAATGCTATGGGAAGGGAGGGAAACAGGTCCACAACGTAGGAAGTGGTAATGGAAGTAGTCGAGGCGAGCAGTCCGGGGTGTAGAAACCCTTTGTGACAGTTAGATTAATATACCTGCAATACTAAAATGCTATAGGAAGGGAGGGAAACAGGTCCACGACGTAGGAAGTGGTAATGGAAGTAGTCGAGGCGAGCAGTCCGGGGTGTAGAAACCCTTTGTGACAGTTAGATTAATATACCTGCAATACTAAAATGCTATAGGAAGGGAGGGAAACAGGTCCACGACGTAGGAAGTGGTAATGGAAGTAGTCGAAGCGAGCATTCTGGAGTGTAGAAACCCCTTGTGACAGTTAGATTAGTGTTACTGCAATTCTAAAATGCTATGGGAAGGGAGGGAAACAGGTCCACGACGCAGGAAGCGGTGATGGAAGTAGTCTAGGCGAGCAGTCCGGAGTGTAGAAACCCTTTGTGACAGTTAGATTAATATACATTCAATACTAAAATGCTGTAGGAAGGGAGGGAAACAGATCCATGACATAGGAAGCGGTGAAGGATGTAGTCAAGGTGAGCAGTCCGGAGTGTGGGAACCCTTTGTGAAAGTTAAATTAATCTATTTGAAATTCTAAAATGCTATAGGAAGGGAGGGAAACAGGTCCACGACGTAGGAAGCGGTGAAGGATGTAGTCAAGGTGAACAGTCCGGAGTGTGGGAACCCTTTGTGAAAGTTAAATTAATCTATTTGAAATTCTAAAATGCTATAGGAAGGGAGGGAAACAGGTCTACGACGTAGGAAGTGGTGAAGGAAGTAGTCGAGGCGAGCATTCCGGAGTGTAGAAACCCTTTGTGATAATTAGAATAATGTACAGTATCGAGCATGAGGCGAGCAGTGCGGAGTGTGGGAACCGTTGGTGGCAGTTAGATAATGCATCTGCAATTCTAAAAATGCTATGGGAAGGGAGGGAAAGAGGAAATACATTACGTATATTACCAATGACTTTGGTTAATTAATGGACGAGAAGTTAGGATTGTTGTTGACTGAGATTTGGTTTTTTTAAGAGGTTGACAGCCTCTTTTAACCTTGCATTAGCCCGTCCACATAGACTAAGTGCCCGTGCGTGGATCGTTTACAGCAAAGCAAGGGGTGAGCCGGTACGGTACAAAGGTGAACTGTACTGATAAAATTTAGTGGCAGTGACCAGGATCCGAACCCACGACATTGCTGCCTTGGGCCCGAAGTCCGCGTGACGCTACCGACTGAGCCACCGAATCACCATTATTTGCCCCGACTCATGGGTTGATTTGCCCATACAAATAACATTATTGTGTTCACCAGTGACACCGGTAAGTATGCTAGGTGTGGGTGGACTCTTTCATTATTGCGCTCATGTTCACTCATCCCGTTACGCGCAGAATAAGCGTACTACTAGTTTAAAGTAGTTGTAACAGGGCATCAAATGAAACGTCTTTTAGTAGTTTTAGCGAATTTCCCGATAGGGAAGTAGCTATTACCGTAGGTCTCATGGTAAGACCTAACCCCGGGACCGATTTACTTTTTCATTTTGATGTCCCCAGAGGCCAAAAACACCATTCGTTCAAATTTTTATATATCTATATATATATATATATATATATATATATATGTGTCCATCCGCACGATAACTTGAGTAATTTTTGTCCGATTTTGATAAAATTTGGTTTGAAGGTGTAAGGCGGGATAAACTTGAATGAGTTCGCGAACCAGCATGATCGGACTATGGGAACGGGGGTTTATGGGGGATTTTATGGGGTAAAAATAGGTTTTTCCCATTTTTCACCCTAAAAACACAAAATTTCACAATTTCTTTTTAAACCATTTTGTAGAGCTTAAAAAAACAAATAATTTAGTATATTGAAGCGTTATTATGCGCCTATTTGTTACGGAGAAAATTCAAAAAATTTGTAATTTTGAAATTCCCATGTTATTCTTATGGAGAATAAGTCAACTGTTGTAGTTTGCTTGTTTATGAACATATTTTGATCGATTTTGGAAAATACTTTTATTTCTTACTAAACTATTATCAATTTATAAAAAAAATCTTTTTTATCCTCCCTGTTGCAGCAAACCTAAGTACTCGTTAAACTTATTCTATTTAAATAGGAAATAAATGTGCTATTTTTATAGAGGCATTTTAGTGTAAATCCAATCAGGTTAATGGAAATTCGCTTAGTCTGCAGGTTTGCTGCGGCGGGGGTATTTCAGTGTAGGTGAGATAAAGCAACAGAAAGGTGGCCAAAGCCTGTGGTCCTTTCTCCACCCCTATTTCAGTGAGATATTTACCTATAATACCAATCCGTTTTTCTGAACAATCCTTTTAGTCCAACTTTGACATCTTTCATTTCACTCTAAGGGCCGCTTTCCCCAAATCAAGTTTAACTCTGATCTTGGTTTAAACTCTAGTTTAACCTCAGATTCACTTTCCCCAAAATAAATTCTCCGTTTAAACTAGGTTTAAGTTAACCCTAGGGGTGAGGCTGGTTTAACTGGCGATCCGTGGGTTAACCCAGGAGAGAAGAATAATAGCTTGATTTTGATTGGCTCTTGGCTGACTTGTTACGTTCGGCAGACGGCAATGGCAAATATCCTTGTTTGACATTTGTTTTTGTTCATAACCTAAAATAAATTGAACTGGAAATAAATTAAGAAATAGCAAACCAGAACCTATGGAGACAATTAATTCATGACTATTTCAAATTTAAAGATATAAGGCTACAGATATACAGTAATGGTTTGAAGGTTTTTAAATGCGTAGAGTAGGCCTAAATTATTATATTTTCGGTAGGTAGTATCGTAGTTGTGTACAATCGATAGGTTACCTTGTCCACAGCAACGCAACAGTAGTGGTTGGAAAGTATGCTCATAAGAAGCCTTTTGGTTTGACTTTATTTTAACACGAGTCTTACATTACACAAAAGTAAATATTAAACATTCGGGACTACTAATGGTAAATAGTAGTAAATATTAGTGGTTACTAGTCTATTATTATCATGTGTAAATTAACAACTACTGTAGTACGCCTAAAATTAAAATTTAGTTCAGGAACATCGAACGTGTCTAATAGGCCTACTGAGTAGCCTAGGCCTGCTATTACAAAGGTTAGGCTCTAGTTTTTAATCCACAAACATTAATTTTGCGTCTTTCCCAACATTTTATTTTCCCATGATTGTAAATGCTTTTATTTGATGCGTACAGTAGGCCCACTGTTTAAGTTAATTAAGTTTGAGCTTAAATAAACACAATAAATGAAATGCTTATAAATTAGCATCAGTACAATTTATTAGCCTGCAAATAAAAATGTTTCTTTTCAATGTCAACAATTGGAGACAATGACACGAAACCTAATACAAATAACCAAAACATGAGAAAATTAATGACAGATATGTCATAGTGGCAAGTTGAACAGCTAATATTGCAGACAAAATTGCATAACAGTGTTGCCAACATTGTTGCTTGCAAAGAAAAGCTAGGTTAAACTAAACTTTCATGACAAAATAGTGGGGAAAGCCATCCTAAGTTTAACCCACCGATTAAAGTTAACCGAGATTAAGTTAAACTTGATTTGGGGAAAGCGGCCCTAACTCTTCTAGTGCTCAACACACCTTGGCTGGTAGAGAGAGATGGACATTTGAAGGTGCCATCTGTATTAGATTTCATAACTAACAAATACAAGTTGTTATCAGGTATAGGCCTATTTTTGGAGAATATGTTAATTTTTAATATTTTCTTTTCAGATGTCAAAAGCACCTTCTGCAGCAAGAGAGAAGGTTGGTGATAAGACCAAGTCTAGGCTACCCACAGACGAGGAAATAGAAGAACAGTTGGCCAAACTTAGAGGTTGATCATCTATCTGTGCCTTACCTTTATCGAATACCGGTTTGAAGCCAATTTGTGCTTTTAGATTTGTATTAAAAAATAAGATTAAATTCAAAATTATTATTTTTGTGTTAATACATGCCATTTATTATTTATTTATGAAATGTACTTAAATGTTCTATTGAATAAATAAGTTGTGTTATTTGTTGTTTGTTTCCTTAAATTATATGGGAACAGTGATGGGAAAGCTCAATCTTTTTAAGTACCAACCGTCAACCCATTGGTGCCCCTTACGAGCGTTACTCATACGGCTGCTGCAGGCCCGGCGGCTGACGTACGAGTGCTGCTCGTTCACTAGTGTCTAGCACTACCAGTCATCGTAGTTCCACAAAAATCCAATAGATAGCAGTCAAATGCACTTCTGTTGATATCTGTGAATCCCGCTGACTGTTTGTGAAATATAACACATAGTTTATAGTTCAATAAAACAAATTTTATTCCGGTTAGAAAGACACGCGTTTTTTGCTGTGGTGAATGCTGGTCGCAGGTAAATTGTAACAAAGCAAAATCATTTTGTATAGTATTTTATGTTGATTGCTACACTATAATAAAATATATAATCTTTAATTGTTGTCAACACTTATTTGCCACTGAAATTAATGTCGGCTGTCAGCATCGTTTTCTTCTCATGAACTAAACGTAGCGTAAATCATCTTCAATGTTATTATTTGTAGGTAGTGATCATGTAACTGAATGTCACTTGACTTGGTAGTGTTTTACCAAACGTATGATTAAAAAAGTCGATAAATTGAGAAGTGTTTTGTGAGGTCAAAACCTTTGTAGTTCTGAGCTTGATAGTCTACTACTTGAAAGTGGGAGTGAGGATGAGTGTGACAAAGACTTAGAAGGAGTAAGCCTACATGAACAACTTCAAAAGGTAAAACAAACAATTCTTTTTCTATATGTTATCTATATACAGGGTGAGTTTTAAATGAGTTCTCCCCTACTTTTTTCTACATTTATTGAGATATCAACTCCGGACCACGTCGGATCATTGTAGGGTAGTAAGTACTTCATTTTGACTGGGTATAAATTTTTGGCCGCCATCTTGGATCCGCCATATTGGATACAAAGTTTTTTTTTCAAATGTAAAGGTAGGGTTGTCGGTTGTGACCCATTATTCCAAACTAGAATTTTACGCTGATTACAATGCCGCAATTAGTTAAAAAAAATCTTGATCCGTTCTAAAGTAACAAGTACTTTTTATAACTTTATTTTTAGCCCATTTTAACATTGTGCATTTACAAACTAAGACCATAATCTCAAAATAGTGCTAGATAAAGATAAGTATACACCACCATTCATTGTCAACCTATTTCACTTGGTTGTGATGGATGTAATTTTTTCGGTCGCCATCTTGGATCCGCTATTTTGAAATGTGATCAATTAATTTGAATATGAAGGTGGTGTTGTGACCCATCATTTTCAACTACTTTTTTATGCTGAACTCAATGCCGTAATCCGGTTTTGGTTATCAAGCTTTCTTGATGAAATATTAAAATTATCTTTTTTAAAATTTCAATAATTCAAAAAACCAAATATGCAAATGAAAACCCAATTGCGGCATTGAGTTCAGCATAAAAAAGTAGCCCAAAAAAATTACATCTGTCATAACCAAGTAAAAATAGGCCGACAATGAATGGTGGTGTATACTTATCTTTATCAAGCACTATTTTGTGATTATGGTTATAAATGCACAATGTTAAAATAAGCTAAAAATAAAGTTATAAAAAGTCCATATAACTTTAGAACGGATCAAGAGTTTTAAAAACTAATTGCGGCATTATAATCAGGGTAAAATTCTAGTTTGAAATAATGGGTCCCAACCCTACCTTTACATTTGAAAAAACAACTTTGTATCCAATATGGCGTATCCAAGATGGCGGCCAAAAATGTATACCCAGTCAAAATGAAGTACTTACTACTCTACAATGATCTGAAGTGGTCCGGAGTTGATATCTTAAGAAATGTAGAAAAAAGTAGGGGGGGAACTCATTTAAAACTCACCCTGTTTAAAGCTCAAATACCACTGACTCATTCATTCATTCACTCACTTATCAATCACGAAATCTCAGAAACCATAAGACCTAGGAACCTGAAACTTGGCAGGCATCTTCCTTTTGGATAGTAGACGCTCACTAAGAAAGGATTTTACCCTCCGACCTCTGGGCTCCGCCCCAGTGGCTCTGGAGTTTCCCATGTTAACCTTATGAGAAATGGTATTAATGAATCTTAACAGCTGTTTCAATTAAACAAATTGGTTCTGTTCTGTGATGTTTAATAATAGCATTAAAGTTACAAGGATTACCAACAGGGTGCAGCACTATTATTTTTTTAAATTTATGACAACAGCTAATTTGCAACCAAAAGGTGAGTGAGCGTAGCAAACGAACTTCAACCTGGAGGCGAGTTAGCGTAGCGAACGAGCTAACCTGAAGGCAAGTGAGCGCAGCGAACGAGCTCCAGCCTAAAGGTGAGTGAGCGTAGCGAACGAACTTCAACCAGGGGCCCTATTTTTGAAATGGTTGACTGTTAAGTTGAGTGTCGAGTCATTCTATTTCCAATCGTTTCGTATTTTTGAAACGATTGACGGTAGACCTATCCAACCAAAACTACTCACCATCTACTGAGCTGTTGAGTGGACGGTTGACTGCACATTCTTCTTCCTCTTTCGGTAAAAAATTTGCTCTTTTTGAGTCAACGCCATATTGTTATTGCTTTAATTTATTAATTGCGATTTAGAGGTTATGTATTTGTTGTCAATGTATTATCACCCAATACTTTACGCGATTGTTTTCTGTAGAATAGCCTAATTGCATTTTAATTTTATTTACTGTGTCAATACTAGACTATTTAATCAAGGGTTTTATCCTTGTTGGTATGTTTGAAATAGACTAGGCATACTAATTGAACTTATTATGTAAGATATTTATTGTTATTAGACCTAGTGTAGCGGCTACACTTGTCCGACTATGTATGCAGTGAGTCTCATTTATATTGTACTAGCTGGCCCGACAGACTTTGTCCTGTCCTAATGTGGTTTGATGTCAAATGTTCGCGTTCATTTTCAAGATGAGCTCGTTCGCATGGCCTTTAGGTTGGAGCTCGTTCGTTGCGCTCACTTGCCTTCAGGTTAGCTCGTTCGCTACGCTAACTCGCCTCCAGCTTGAAGTTCGTTCGCTACGCTAACTCGCCTCCAGGTTGAAGTTCATTCGCTACGCTCACTCACCTTTTGGTTGCAAATTAGCTGTTGTCATAAATTAAAAAAATAATAGTGCTGCACCCTGTTGGTAATCCTTGTAACTTAAATGCTATTGAACATCATAGAACAGAACCAACTTGTTTAATTGAAAAAGCTGTTAAGATTCATTAATTCCTTTTAAATATGAAAAATCATAAGGTAACATGGAAAGCTCCAGAGCCACTGGGACGGAGCACGAAAGCCCGATCAGAATAAAAAGTACTTAGTTTTGCTATTTAATGCCCAAAGAATCCTAGGTAAATGGGAAGTGGGAGAATCAGTGATGAGTAAGTCAGTGAGGGCTTTGCCTTATCTATATATATAAAAGGCAAAGCCCTCACTGACTGACTGACTGACTGACTCACTCACTCACTCACTCATCACTAATTCTCCCACTTCCCACTTACCTAGGAGGCTGAAATTCTGTACACTGATTCTTTAAACATTAAATAGGAAAACTAAGTGGTTTTTATTCTGATCGGACTCTCGGGCTCTGCCCCAGTGGCTCTGGAGTTTCCCATGTTAACCTAATGAGTACTCATATTTAAATGGAATTAATGAATCATAACAGCTGTTTCAATTAAACAAGTTGGTTCTGTTCTATGATGTTCAATAGCATTAAAGTTACAAGGATTACCAACAGAGTGCAGCACTATTATTTTTTTTCAAATATTTGACAACAGCCCAGACAGCACAGAGTTATCTATAGAATATCTTATAAACATTTAATTTGGATATTTAAGATATCTATAGATAATCAATATCCAGATATTTATATTTGTTAGATATTGTGAAGAAGTTTAAATGTCACTAATTTCTACTTTCAACAGATATTAGATTTACAATATCTTAAGAACTTCTAAAACTGAATGTTATATCTGATGACAGATCACAACAAATATATAATAAATACATAAAAACACAAAATAATAAAGATTAAGCCTGAAAAGCACATTTATCAGTTGAATATTTTCATTAAATAGTTCATAAAAACAATTTTTGAAGAAAAAAACTAGACAAAATTTTTTATACCCGGACAGGTTTCAAACCTGATACCTTCATCTTATGAAACTCTTACCTTACCTCTGAGCTACCTGTGATTGTTGATATAACTAGTTTTCAAGCGGTTAAAGAGGAGCCAACAGCTGCAATGGTCGCAATACTTAAATAGTTTTGATACTATGATTCTGTTTAGGCATCAAGTTGTTAAATTAATTGTTTTTCTGGCAGATGGAGAGAATACTGATATCTGAATATAGATTAATTAATTACCATTAGTAATGTTATTATAATGGTTATATGATCAATTAATATTTACCCTTAAATTGATCAACCCATATAATTTCCTCAAATAAGTTGAAGAATTTTAATTAAAAAGAAAATATTTGAATTATTATTACTATAAGCAGGTGTATTATTATTATAAAAAGGTGTTTAATCATACATTCAAAGTCAATTGTATAATGTTTTTACAGAATGGCTTAACAGTTTTTTTTTGTTTCTCACAACGACAACTTTTGGGTCGTGCGAGACTTGTGTTATTATATATTACGTGGTGTAATTCATATTTCTTCCCTTCTGTCTGACTGAAAAAGTTTGACTTTAATGAAACACTCCCTTTGGAAAAGTGTAGTCATTCTTGTAAACATCGCTAATGCAATTTTTGTCCACTTTGGGCTGATTAAAATTATTTGATTTTTTTAACGCGTAGCATGGATTAGAGTAACGGAGACAACATAATATAATTAATCTACCAAAATAACCACATAAAAACTACAATTAAGTTTTGGTTTCATTAGTGTTTGTTGATTTGTTGGATGATTTTAGATCCTGTGTTTTTATAAGGCTAACTGTAATATTAAATATTCTAGATGAAACAATAATGCACTTATCAGCATTTATC